TATAAATTTGCTTGCTGGAGGCCATGCTTGATACATACCACAGCCTTTGTTGTGATATGATCTTCAGTAAGTTCTACACTACAGTATCTACGATGCGCAGGAAAACATGGGGCAAGCATTACCACTTAACACTTTCTGAAGTGCAAAGCCGATGTTCACGTTTTCCTCAACAATGAAAACGCAAACTTTCGGTGCATGGTACGCGTACACGTGTAGCGTCAATGTACACTGTTCCCTACCTTCCAGAAAGATACGTTTTCTGTCTCGCATCAGATCCTCTCTCCTCTTGCGATACTCTGAATGCTCTTTCATGAGCTTGGTCCTCTTCTCCAACAGTTCCTGATGACATAATGGCAATAGACCAGTTTCACATAAGCCAAAGACTGTACAGGAAAACAGATGACATAATGACTACGTGCCATAAGTCCACAAGAAATTCATGGGAGATATAAACGTGCTGCTCCGAACAATCTACCACAAAACTCTTTCTGATCAGCGTAGAAAGAATGATTCCTCGACACACGAGGGAGATGGACAGCCGACGATGGTGGAACGCTGATTTGTCTCACCTTTGAGGCCTTGGACCTGATGCTGCGATCCTCCTGCTCAAACACCATCTGGTACTTCTTCATCTCTTTCTTGATGGTCTGTATAACAAGCAGATGGATAGACGGACACCGAGCAAGGAAAAATGGGATGGACAGAAGTGGGGAAAGAGAGAGAGAAATTTACAAAGTAAAGGCCTGTTATACCGACATAGGCTCTTGCACGTTTTTCATGCACTTCAAAGATTAAACACGATCGAAACAACTCTGCCTGTGATTGTGATTACCTGTAGATCATCTTTAGAGAGGGGGGAGGGTGGGCGTGGCCTCCAGAGCAGCTGGCAAAACTTCTCCATTTGGACTGGGTTCCTGTAGAGGACGTTTCCTTGGAATGACCACACTATGAACCCTGTGTCCATCTGGAAAGGCAGGCAGGGATGGAAGGAGGAACGGACGAGGGAATAAAATATTCAATAGGGTCCGAATTGCATGTACTGGTTGGTTGGACGCCACACACTCCTTACGGCACAAACATTCGAAAAGTTAGAAAATTGGAGCTTCTCCACAAGTATAAACACCGCCCACTTCTCTCTCCCTACCTTCTGAGACCAGTAGCTGATGGCAGTGGTGACATATCTACCAGTAGGATCCCACTCCACGTCAGTCATTCCACCGTGTTCTACTACATTAGACATGGCAATGTCTCCGGTGTCTATGAACTCCAGTGTCCCATTCATTGGCCTACACACATATCATGTACAGGGAAAGGAATATAATTACACATGTATACTGTAGAGGCTCATTACTACGTAGTCTATCAATAAGTCAGAGCTAATCGTGTCGTAGTAGCAATATTACTGACAAATATCTCGAGATGTTTCAGTGATTGTTCATATTGAACCAGGTTCCCACCAACTAACTAACCCTTTCATTCCAGCAAGCACCACAAACTGCCCGGTGGGAGACCAGAATATGTGGTTGACTTCTCTCCGCTCCAGAGTCTCTGGCGAAGAAACATAAGTACGGGAGAAGAAAGCGAGTTAGCAGTAACTCAAGGTCTGATGCTCCCTTGGTAACGAAAAACTCCTAGCAATCAAAAAGCACACCCTCACGTGGAAAAAAATGTAGTGACACCTGGTTCCTAACGACAGCTCACTCGGACACACCCGAGCGAAGAGAAAGGACTCACTGAGTTTGGTGATGGCGGCTCCCTTGTCATTGATCTTGTAGAAACTGGCAGACACACGGATCGGTGGCTCCCCGTGGATGATGGCAAAATTTGACCCCGTGGGCTCCAGCGCAAAGGCCAGGATGGGCTCTGTGTGATGAATTAGACAATGATTAACAGTCTGAGCACAGTGAGGATTTTATAATGAGACACCTAGGGAAGGGGGGCCTCTTATAATTGCAAGTCGTTTTAAAGACATTGGCATTACATGAACACTCTGAGCATGAATACGAAGTTTCTGAAAAGCTTTGTGGTAGTGCTAATCATCGGAATTCTAAACATCCTACAAGAAAATTACACAAACTAAATCTGCACATGGGAACATTCAACAGTACACACATTCTTTGTTTACATTATACGTACAGACCTTTCATTTCAAGAGTGTCAACTGGAATTTGAGGCTCTCTCATGTGAAATATCTCAAAACTGTAGCAGAGTTGCTAAAAGAAAGAGGGGATGGGGGGGGGGAATGACTTCTGCACCACATCAATCAAGTTCAGGAGAAAATACTCTTAGGTAGTAGGAAACGTTTGAGTGGGAAAGTTTTAGAACGTCTTTATCACAAATTTTTTGGTGCCTCACCTTTTTGCTCTTGGTGAGGTAGTGGTCAACCTTCACACATAAGTAGTCTCCTCCCTTGTGCCAGTGGAGCTTACACTGAGAGGAGGAAGACGGACAGGGTGACGTGTTATCACAAGCAGGACTGTCTTACAGATAGATACAGTCGCAAAATGTAAAGAGTTTTAGTTAATGGTGATGTGGTGGGAGTTAGGAGTTCTCTGCACATTGAATAAATCAAGCAGGACACCGTCAATTCACAGCAGTTCATTGGCGAGTGGTATAAAATCTAACATTTAATAGTGGTTCCACAAGTATAGTCATTATAACAAGGTGTCAGTCTACACAAGGTTCCAGTAGAGTAGACATGGAAGCTTGGGTGGCCTGACTCAACCACTGCCATGTTCCGGTTGTGAGACTAGCGAGTTTCCCTAAGGTAACGATCCACAACACGACCCAGACAACCCACCACGATAGTGAACATCCCCCTACTCCCCACGGGCCCAGTAGCATGTCCAAGACGAGACGAGGAGATGAGGGTGTTTAGAGAATTTAGTAATAGTTCACGCTCGAGCTACAGGCATACAGGAACTGGAGTATGACAGATTCACACATTCCATCAACTTCAACACCAGTGTGTAGCAGCATTAAAGTGAGGGGATCCGTACTTACACTAATGTTGGCACGTGCACAGCTACACTTCGCACTGCCCCTCCACTCACCCACATACACATAGAGCCATCTTCCCCCTTCAAATCAGCAACTAAATCACCTAAACCTAAATGACTTCTTCAAGTTTGACCCTGTCTTCTACACCCATCTTACCTCTTTCACCAACATCTTGCTCTTGGTACTGAGGATATTCCTGGACGGTATCTCCATGACTGTTATCTTGGCAGGGAGGTCAGTGGTCTCAGGGACCCAGTAGGCAAAGTGGTTCTCTGTGGGACACCACGACAAGTCCCTGGGTGGAGCAGGGAGGGAGGGAGCAAGGAGAGAAGATTGGGATGGAAGAAAGGAGAGAGAGGAAGGGGGAAGGAGAGAAAGGGAAGGGTGGTAGCGTTCAGAAGTTGTGGTTTGTGTAGACAGACTCACTTGACTTCCTTCACAACTATGGATTTCTTGTCCAGTAGACCAAATGACTGAGAGAGAACGAGGTGAAATCTAGAGCAGAAGTATTAAAGGAACACAGGGCAACTGACTGGAGTCTGATAGACACCGATGAGGCCGTCTGACATTCTGGCAAAGTACTCTCCATCTTTGTTCCACCTGCACATCAACACCACACACAGCACATGGACCATTTTTGCTGCTCTTTTGGGGTATGAAGATACAATACGCTCATCTTGCAATTTTTGCAGGTAGCGACGATTTTTACCACACAGCATCAACAAGTGCAATCCTCATTTGCTCGATTAGTATGTACATCGTAGATGTAGCTATATATGTACTTGAGAATGGGCCAGTCCTCGGCGTTCCCTCGCTGGAAGGAGCGTTTCTTCTTCCCAGTCCTGATCTCCCACACTATGATGTTCTGAGAAGTGTCTGGGTCGTCCACTATGTCACTGAACGTCACCATATACCTGCACAGGGGAGGGGAGGGGAGGGGGAGAAGGGGGAGGAAGAAGAGAGAGGGGAGAGTGAGTGAGAAAGGGAGGGAAAACGTGGAATTATGAAACCCGAGTCACATAGCAGAGCACTAAGTCCACGTGGTTTAACAAATAAACACACAGGAATGGTTATGAGGATGCAACAGACTGATAGGCTTAAACATGAATAGTAGTACTCTTCTTATACATATTATTATACATATATATACATGTGCCTTGCACGGGACTATGCTTTGCTTCATCTCTCAGAGTCTGACAACCTCCACATGCATTCACTATCCATACCAATGATTATGTCATCGGGACAAATGATTATGTCATCGGGACACTACATACATAATGGGTTCAGGGTGTACACAGGGTGTATGAAGGGGAGGGGAGGCGGTGGTGACCTTTCACAAGGTGAGAAGTCAATGAGCTGGACTCCGTTGTGGCTGAACCGGGCCAGCCTCTCGAACTCGGGACCGCCCCAAAGAGCTACACCCTGTCTGTGGAAGGTGGCCAGGTAGGTTCCTCGCGGGGACCACCTCACGTACGTGTCAGTCCAGTTCTAAAGGGGTTAACACAGATAATAGCGTACTTCGTAACTGTGGTAAAATGACCGAGATCAGCAGGTGTTGAAGTTTCACGAACACAATGTTTTTGAAACAACAAAAGAACTGCTGCAAACAACCATACTTTTTAGCGGAGATAGTTTTCGTTGATTCAGCCAAACAAAAACAGGAATATTATGCACAAACATTCAGTAGGAAAACCGCATAGTGCATGCACGGTTATTGGTCGAGTAAACTATGAACCTCAATACACTCTGCTTCATTCCTTCATTTTCACAGCTTACTCTACATACATACACACTGTATATGTACTTCTAAGAATTTTCAAAGCTCTCGTCAGTGCCACGCAGTTTCAGCCACATCACTGGGCCATACGTTATGCAAACAGCAAGCAAACGCAAACAGCATGACAACACCCAGGGCAACTCTTTTTTCCAGGAAAAGCCGTCCTGGGGTGGGATTCAAACCAGAAGAAAGGCTTGCGCATAACTACAGTGTCGTGGTGTTTCCATACTTTTCTCTCTTTGACAACTTTCGGTTCCTTTTTGTTGTTCTCGCAGATGGCTACGTAGGCCGTCTCTCCCGTCCCGTAGATGACCGAGAACTGATCGAAACAGCTCTTGTTGAGTAGCCACGACCTCAGGTTACCCTACACACACACACACACACACACACAGAGGAGAGAGACCAAAAGCATGTTTGTAGAACAGAACTAGAAGTAGGAGCACTGGCACCAACACAAGAACTGGCACTAGCAGGCAAAGAAGGTAATATGAACACAGAAAACAATTTTAAAAACAAAGGAAAGGGCAGGCAAGCCACAGGAATTTGTGTGAATTTTGTGATACTTATAAGGAGAGAAAAGGGAAGGTAAACTCCGAGCCTTTACAGTTCAGTCCTAAAAGTTACGGTAGTGTGTAGCACAATATTGAAAGGCCTTAGAATGCACAGGGCAGTTGAAATTGTGAAGGGGAACATAATCGTGTGACAGAGACACAATTTTCAGGAAAGTCACTCACTTTGTCTTCAAACTCTCTCTTTTGAGGTACTTCCCACTTTTCAGGCAGATTTCTGTACCTGTATAATTACGTACGTACATACATAATTTGGGAGTCAATTCGCAGACTTTGTGCGTAAATATCTACACGCAGTATAATACATACATAATTGGCTAGTGAGTACATAACAAAGGCAGTATAAGTGTGTAATTGGGCAACTGACAACACTCTCTGTGGCTGAAACTGACTTGTCAAAGTCGGAGAAGAAGTTGATGGCAAAGACGTGGGCCTTGTCCAGTCGGTAGCCATTACCAGTGGCCACAGCTGTCTCTGCCCCTTCCCTCGTGGAGAACTCCAGGAAGAAGTAGCTGGGAGGTTGCGGAGGTTGAGGAGGTTGAGGAGGAGAATAAAAGAATGTGTGAGTAACAAAAAGACCCAAAAAATAATGCAGAGTCATAGTGGACTAAAAATTTCTGCAACTTCACATACATACATACATACATACATACGTACAAACAAAATTAATGCCATACCCTTTAAACATCTGAGTGGCCTCGTCCACGGGATAGTATCTCCTGACAATGGTACCAAATCTGCTAAAAATCTTCTCCAAAACATTCTGCAGTTTCTGCATCCGGTCAGGACCCACCTGTATCAAGAAAGAGGCCGGGGGAGGGAGGGAGGGGAGGAGTGAGATAGGGGACTAGACAAATATTTGGGGGAAAAGACGAAAGTTTGGAGAGAGACTAACCTTTGGGGCATTGTCAACCACTATAATGTTGTCCACACCTTCTTCCACCTTTGGTTTCTGTTTCAGGAGGTCTCCCAGCAATTCTGTGAGGAGTACACCGTACTACATTAGAGGTGTGTTCGACGCCCTGTTAGATAATGGGCTAACCCCATCTCATTATACTGTACTATGGGAGCTGGCCAGTGATGATTATGAACCTAGTGGGATTGATCTATTACGAGCACAGAGGTAGAAGAATAACTGAAAGGCCTGTCCTCGAAACATATGACTTGCCTTCGTCAGTGACAGTGTCCACATAGTCTGGAGGATCATCATACGCAGAATCACTCTCTTCGTCTTCCTCCTCCCCGCTCTCTTCTTCCTCTTCGCTCTCCTCTTCTTCCTCTTCCTCCTCCTCCTCCTCCTCCTCCTCGTTGACCGTCTTCTCTTCCTCTGTAGGCATCCTCTCTCGGCACTCAGACACGTGCGTATATACGTGTAAGTGGGGTGTGCATTAAATGGAGATAGTAGTAGAGGCTGGCTAGGCTGCTGTGCGTGTTGGTGGCGCGCATGCGTAGTAAAGAGGGGAGGGGCTGGTCTGCATAAGTAAACAGTAAAGGTTTGGAAATGGAGGAGAGTTCTGTAAAGACGCACCGACTGGCGGACACTACATTCAGAGTGAGCTACGGTGCTAACCATATAAAACACACAGATACTCTTTCTCTACAGAACAACGAAGAGTTGTCTGCTGATCTGCACAGACTTGCAACTGCAGCCAAGACTTACTACAAGGCCATGCAAGGCGAGGGATTTTGCTACTAAAGCAATGTACAAGCGTTCTGTCTCCCCTCTTTGTATATTTCAGGACTAGAGCAGGCCTCGCGGCAGTTTCACGGAGTCTTGGGTTCCATCGCTAGCAAGGCAGCCAATCTTCCGGGCGGTGTCAGAAAGCTCGGTGAGGCTAGTTAAAAACATTCTCTGCACTGGGCCGTCTCCATTATAATAATGTATGCGACTCTCACTGTCAACGGTTCGAACACAGGAGACGCTGCAGAAGATCTGGTGATAGGTTACAACCACGTACAGAACCAGTTCAGGGGCCTTGTAAGTCCAAAAATGTAATCTACCAATAATTATACCCAGTGACCCTGCTGCTATACTGTGTAGATGCACTCAATGAACACTGACTTCATTGTACCCCTGGAGACAAAGTTGGATGCTGAAGAGAAAACCCTAATGGTAGCTCTTTGTATAAAACTATATGATAAACCTCTGATGCATTCCCTACAATTTCCAGGATATGCACAAGACCTACAGACAGGAGAATGGGAAGAGAGAATCGGTAAGTAAAAGAGGATTCCCTTTAACTATGGTGAACCTCTGTTGCCTATTGTACATAGTCACTGAGTAAAACAAGAGACCAAATCCGGTCCCTGAAAAAGAAGACCAACGCTCAACATGAGAAACTAGCCCAGGTCAGAGACCCCTCTGTTCCCTCTCGGCTTGAGAGAGATTTCCTGGAGAGTGTGTTGAGAAGCTAACGACCATTTCTCTACAGCTGAAACAGATTGAGAGTGACCAAACGGAATGTCTGCACCAGACACGAGTGGAGGGACTCAGAAAGGTCCACAAACCTGAACATCAACTCTAGCTAATAATTATCAGCCAGCACATAACATTACCCTTCCAAAATCATCATTACAAACTCTCTACAGTCTGATAATTGTTTGTAAGGGCTGGCTTTTGTATCTCATACAGGCACTTCTGGAGGAGAGGAGGATGTATTGCTTTGTGCTTGACCATCTCACCAGTGTCATCAGAAATGAAGTTGCTTACAACGCTACAGTGAGTATTAACAGCATGAACTCACACACTTATCCTAAATAAACCTATGTTGTATTCTGAAAATTTTCTCTGTGTGTCAGTCTCATGAGGAGTTGTCGGCAAGACTGAATGGGTTGAGGACACTCACTTCCACCCCAAATGAGTTACCTGAGGAGAGTGCTGCTCTGCTTATAGTGAGGTTTTCCACAATTCATCACCTTCCTATTTCCAATTCTCTTACTTCTTCCTCTGCTTCTCTTTGCCTGCCCTCTTCTCCCTCTCTTTCTGCCGTTCCCAGGATCCCCGCTCTCCACGTGCCTTCCCTCCCTCTTCCCATGATGATGTGCCAGATATTGGTGAAGATAAAGGTAGAGCTTCCCTCACACACATTTGTTTACAACAGCATTATCCCTAAACTCTACAGCACCTATGGAAGTAGAGTCCACGATGGTGAAGTAAGTACAAGTGTCTAAAACCTACAAAGCTGTTCGCTTTACACATGTGTTGCTTTGACTCCATTTCCTATCCAAAACTGCAGGGTCAAAGCTATTCATCCTCACAAACCTACGGATTCAAGCCAGCTTGAGCTCAAGATGGTATATTATTCATAGGAACAACGATCAGAAATTGCCATACTGTATATCTGAACCACAGGGCGACTTGATAGAGGCTGATGAGAACAGCCAACAAAATGGCTGGCTGCTTGGGAAAAACTTTCGCACGGGAGTGTGAGTTGCTCCATTATCTCCCAGTTACTGTGAATGGCTCCACAAACACAGGACCGGGTGGTTCCCAGTGCAGTTTGTGACTGGCATGATAGGACCAGCTTCCACCACTGAGTAAGCTATTAAACGAGGGGTAATATAAGCATGTATGTATATAAGTGCTAGCATGGATAGCTGTTAATAGGGTAGATTACTTTTTGGCCCATTCTTCCATAATGGGAGATGAACTGTAGAGCTACTAAACCAGCATACTTTCTGGTGGGGAAAACTTTCACACACCGATAGACAAAGTCTGGGGCATTTTCTCTAGGTGAGGCTGACTTCATACCTTAATACACTAGGAGAATGTTTTCTGAATGCCATCCATACATGTACCACAATGTACATCGCTTCTTTGTCGCTAAAGTTATTGCATGCATGGTTGTTCCCCCAGTGAAAGGGCAGGAGAGGGTGTGGTTCCAGGGAGTTCACAACAGCAGCAGACGGGACAGCTACCACCCAGGGACTACATGCCCTACGCTGCACGACCACAGCCTATGATGTCACCACCACAGCTCCCAGAGAAAGACTACTAGATGTATATAGTGTAGACGAACACTAGTTCTTTTTATAGACCACACCACAGGCTAGGGTTACACACTGCTGACAAAAAGACCACAGTGAGTAAATAGCACCATCTTGCATTAATAGACCACATTAAGCTGAGCACCTGTGTGTAAAATAGGATTGATACTATATGAAGTTGGACACTGCGTATACTATAAAGGGTGTCTATATGACTACAGAGTGAGCTATTGACTTGCTATTCTTCACTTCTTTCTTCAGCCTTGCTCCTTGCGTGTGTGTGTGTGTGTGTGTGTGTGTGTGTGTGAGTGTGTACTGTGGGTTGGCCCCCACCCCTTCACCACTGGGGTGACTAGTATAGGGATAGGCAAAACTGTTTTGGGCATCTAGGGTTTTTAGGCAAACAATTATGAGAAGACCAGGGTGTCTAGTAATAATTTTCCAGAACCAAGCAGAGCAGCTGCAAAGCCAGGACATTAGCTAAAAAAGAGGCAACATAGGCAAATGGTAACCGTGGCAAATCAACATTCTACACAACCCCCCCTTGATATACGCATCTAGAGCGAAAGAACTCTTGTCCATTGGACGGTATGAAAACTCTGGTGACAGGCTGTCAGAGCTCCAAGTCTAAGTTGCTTGCGCGTCGCAGGTTGCTGAGGAGTATGATCATAGACTTATCAGAAATAATGATGAAGACTTCCACAGTATATACAAGAATACACAGACTGTATAGACTGTAGACAGATGTAATTGTACAAGAAGCCTGAGTCAAGGGGAGCCTGATCCACCACACAGGCACTACAGGATGTCTCTCGTCCACCATCAACTGTCTTTCTTTTGGCGTTTTGGAGGTGAGGATAAAAAACCGACGGGTAAGTGACTGGACTCAACAGTCCATTTCTGCTGTACAACGTTCCAATTCACTGAATTGCTTCTCAGAGCAGTGAACTTGTCGAGTGTGCCATACGCTTCCAGGCGGGATTTTATCAGGGCAGGATACTTGTTGAGGGTAGTAGGGAGGTCCTGCAGAAAGTGTCTGAACAGACACATGAGAAAGAACGTACCCTTAAGTTGCACTACAGCAGGTATTTACACGTAGGTACTCACTGGTACAGTGTAGGGTGTAGTTGGAGGAGCTTACCTGTGGTTTATTACCAACCAGAGTAACGACATGCCACTCCTTGATAATTCTCCTTTTGTGGCTAGGAGTTTGCTTGTGGAGATCAGTAAAACATCTTTGTCGCAATCATACAGGCAGACACGAAACTGTTTCTCGTCAATAAGCACTGTTGGTACAAGTGCTTTGTGCTCAGGGTGGCGTGCTTTTGCAGTGAAGGAAGCCACGACGCACGTACTAATTGCTTGGGGCAGGTTTACCTCCTTGGACAGCACCTTTCCCTCCACCGCAGTACTAGTCCCTTCGTTGTCACTGACAATTTCCTCAACGAGTTCACTGATTTCCCCCGAGTCTTTCCGCCAGACAACCTCCATTCCCCTGAGTCTTGCATCCGGGGTTCCATGCCAAGTATCCACAGACCCCAGGCCAAGGTCACCAACCTGTAGCTCAGGTATCTGGCAAATCCGAGTGGTGTACCTGCTTTCCAGGAGGACTTCACGACATAGCGGCACAAAAATTTCTCTGCATAGTGTGACCATTATATCTGTTTCCTTGCGTTTGGTGTTGGACGGATTGAAGGGTGGCCAGATCTTCTTCCTACTGTGGGCGATGAACTCCAACACGGAAGTGCCCGCATCTACAGCTTCAACTGTGAAGAGGTCCTTAACCCGGATTCCCACCTGCCGATGGGCATCATCTACGTGTGCTGCTAAGCGCAAGTCCAAGGCTGAAAAACTGGAGAGCGTAGAAAAGTTGGAAGTCACCTTGTGCGGTACAAAGGCAATCTCAGCATTGATTTGTTCAATAGCATAGTACAGACTGCGTTGATGGTCCGTCACTGTCCCTGTAGCAGAGGAGAGGACACAGGTTGTATATACAGTACCGTGGTGAGCCCTCCCGTGTACTGTTCTAACACAAACACACCCACATACACTTCTCGTGTAAGGGCTGCGCCAGACTTTCAGAGAGGGCAGCAGGGTTAACGTAGTACATGTATACAAGTCGCGGTGGGGGCTAACCTGACATGTTTGGTGGTGGCTCTACGGATACTGCGACTCGACGCTGGACTAACCACAAAAAACTGGAGAGCGTAGAAAAGTTGGAAGTCACCTTCACGTGACCAGCCGTCACGTCTATTATTGAGCGAGCCAACCTAGTCCTTCGTTTGAGCGGACTTTTCTTTTATTGGCGAGCGGGAGCGAGCTTTCGAGACTAAAACTGTTTTGGGATTTAGATAGACATCTAGGGTGTTTACAAAACAGTTATGAGAAGACCAGGGTGTCTATATAGTAATTCTGTCTATATTATGACTACAGAGTGAGGCTACATGTTGACAAGTTCCACAAATCTCTGCAGTTGCTCTGAGATGTGTGTGAAGGTAGACCTCAGACCCAGCTTCAGCAGACCTGCAACACCCCAATAGAAACACTCAATATAATTATATCCACCCATAAATCATCCCAGGGGACTGTATGCACAGTAGTGGAAAGTGTTGACTTTAGAGGACTTTCAGCATTTTCTGCAAGCGTGAAATTTTCTTGAAATGGGCTCATTTTACACTAAGGTAAACGTTTTGTGAAAATGGCGGCTTCTCCCTCAAATGGGTCCCACTACCACATAGAGGTTTTCAGGGTATAGTTATACAAGACTCAAGTATACGAGAGCTAACCAGAGTTGTAGGCTCCCTTGAGCATTCTGTGGAGAGCTCCAAAGAAGGCCAGCTGCATGAGAATCACTGCCTGGGTGTGGACTGCCCCATCTGCGATTGGGATAGAGGAGAATAATATAGTGAAGATGATGAAAATGTGTGTGAGTAGAGAATCCCTTATATTTGGCAGTTTGTATTGCTAAAAGCTGATGCTCAGTGAAAGCAGGGTCCCCACGACTGTGCGTTGGCCCCACCCCCTCAACATGGGGTCTGGAGAGGCAAAACTGTTTTGGGATTTAGATGGGTTTTTAGGGAAACAGTTATGAGAAGACCAGGGTGTCTAGTAATAATTTTTCCAGGGCCAAGCAGAGCAGCTGGTAGATTCCATACATGAGTGGCAGCATGATAAGTAATTAATGTGTGTGTGTGTGTGTGTGTGTGTGTGTGTAGGTGACCTGGTCCAGGATATGGTGATAGAATGATACCAGATGGACCAATGTGCATCCTTCGAGAATCCTGTATGACACATCAACAGTTCATTGATCCACACCTAATAAGTCATACCTACCTTCTGGGGCTCAGGGGCATTTGGGTGATCAATAGAGACCATCACAAATCCTGCAGCATAAAGATTGCTGACAATCCTACCAGAAGCACACTGCTATACAGTAAAACAATCTTGCCCAAATACTAAAATTGCACCCCAAACTAATAATGAGTATGCATTATAGCTAAATTATTATCAGCTGCAATCTTTGTCTGTGCATATTACACAACCGATGCTCTGTAATAGCTGAACCGAGCATGCAACGATAGTGGTAGTATCCTGCTGACATGACAAGCCTGCCGCCAGGCTTTTCTTTTGACCACTCAATCGTTCATCGAGCAAAAAACCCAACTGACTAGCTCCACTCCCTGCTGACCTGACTCTTTGCTCTGAGTGAGAAACTGGGGAACCCACATCTTCAGAGCCACCAGATCTCTCCGGGAGATGCGTGGTAATGGCGGATGAAACTGGTTGTAGATGAGACTCGCCTTTGGCTCCTCTGTGAATAGAACAGTCGGGAGGTGAGATGTTGGAAATGCACGTGTAAGCTTTTTTTTGTTTTTACATATATATGGGTATGATAGGCCCTGCAACGTGCTAGAAAAGCTAGGGGAGAAAGAAGTTACATTTTTAGGTGGGAGAAGACAGTGTCAACGACTTGCTGTATATAGCATGAAGAGCAGAGACCAAGTATACACGTACCTTCTATGGCGTCCAGGAGCAGCTCGTTTCTGAAGATATAATCCAGCTGTACACACATATAAAACCCCTACAATACTGTGATGTTGAAGATATTACTAGTACCCATCAATGGAGATGGAGCTACGAACATTGCAGATCCACTCGTATGTGAGTACAACATGCTTTATTATTGTATGTCACCATTATTAAAGCAGCATACCCAAATTATCAAATTATTATTGTGTATTGCATGTTCCATGTTTGCCAAATGTTGACAGTCACAGTCACAGTGTACGGCAGTTAACACAGCCAATGTCTAACTTGCTCCGTGCTCACCTTTCCCCCCTCTCTGGTAGTCAGCTGCAGGAACTGATAGACTGTGGCTGGGTCAGCAGCCAGCACTCCCTCCACTTTGATAACCGCGTGACCGCGAGTACCTCGACCAAACTTGCTCCTGGCCAGCGTCACTCCATCGTGTGTGTCCACCTTCTTCCATTTGGCTGTCTTGGCCATCCGACACAGCTCCGACCAGTGCTGCGTGCATGCATAAATATGTTCATAATACATTCTCTCTCTCTGACTTGTACATTAAAACGTTTGTGAAAGTAAAATTTCACGAATCCACCAAGTTTAAAGTAACAATCGTGTGTGTCGGTACTCGGCCGTTGTGTTTTGAGGGAAAATGGCAAACAGTTGCTGTTGGGAAAGGTGGATATGTATGTGTCAACAATGAGCTATCGCCAGGTAGAAAGGCAAGGCATATATACGTATGTACGGGGATTGCAACAGAAATCTATCGCTCTTACTTTTAATAACCAGGAGGTTAAAAAGGAGGCCCTATCCGTTCCTGATTCAGCTAAAGCCTTGAAGGATGTTTGTATTATATATTATACGTAACAGGCGCTAGTGTACCTCCATCCTCCACCTCTGGTTCTCATAGAGTCTGAGTCTGGCGTCTGGACTGAGGTGAGAATCAGGAGTGGCCGCCTCGTGCCTCGCCCTCCGTCTCTCTCCTGCCCCCAACTCCTCTCCCTCTCCTCCCTCTTCATCCCCACTCTCCATCTACCAAGTCAATACAAACATCGTCTGACTCTCTGTACATAATGTCTGTCTTACTAGCTGTCAGTTAAGCCCTCCTGTATGTAGCATCTTGCAGGCTTGGAAATCGTTTCTAGGGTGCTATTACCACTTTATTATAACTGCCACTTATAGCTTGCCATGCGTTTTAAAACCTGAGTATTTATTGCCTTCAGAACACAAAACTCCATGCCTACAAACCGGCACCCTAAAGTCAATGGATAGAGTGAGAGTTTACCTCATCTTCCAAGTCTTCCAGTAGCTCCTCATCACTGAGGTCCTCATGGTGGATTCTATACACACAGAATTGATACATGTCCCAAATACATCGAAGGTAACCAGTTTATTGCATGCCTATATATATATTATAGAGGTGCTGAAACACCAAACTAAAAACGTCCGGTCCAGCAAACTTTTTCCTAACTAATTGGAGGGGCATACTCGGAAGGGTCGAAGGTGGCCCCGTCGTTGTCCGGAGGTCGGGAGGAGGAGAGAGTGAGGGCCTCGACTCCAAGAGAGCTCCCCAGTGACTCCTCTCTCTGGAGGTATGCTGAGGTCTGGCGTGGCAGAGTCTCAGACCCACCTTGGACCTATTCATAATAATTATATAGAGTCACATGGAGTAATTGCATGTTGAGTTTATGGAACGACTGTAATCTTGCCATCAAGAAAGTGTCTATATTAATTAACCTTTTTGCAGCATTCGCAATAGCTGTTAAGAAGAAAGAAAACGTGTCTTATATTATAAGAGAGGTACAGGTGTCCTTGGAGAGAGGGGTTCAACTTTCCAATAGCCAGTGAAAACCTATAGAAACCTATTTTCAATGTACTGCATCTTTCAGTGTAAATCTATGGTCCAGACAGATTCAGGATGAGATGATGGTTACAGAGCACTTTCTCTCACCTGCTCTCTAAACTAAGTTGCATTTGTTTTAGTGCAGAATACAGACCTTTCTACTGGAGCTGAACTTGTGGCAGATTGTCTGTCTACGTCTATGAGCCTGCTCTGGAACCCCCTGAATGGCAGCATCTATCACTGCCATCCACTCTTGCATAGTCTGTTGACAGGCTGGGCGGGGAGATGGACAGAAGAGATGAGAGAGGGAAGGGGAGTGGGGAGGAAGAAATGTAGAGATGGAGAGACAAAGGGAGGGCGGGAGGAGAAGAAAGAAAGAAGGGAGGGTAAGGTTGACGCTTTGGGTGGTAGGAGGGGGTTCAAAACCACACAGAGCATTCATCAAAAATGAATATGCCCCGGAACATGCTATTTCAGCCTTCTGTCTTGCTGGACATAGATATTCAGTGAATATCCTCATGAATGTCATTGTATATGGTGTGAGAATCTCTACTTACGGCAGCTGATGTAGTAAGTTCTGGTGGAACCATCGTCAAACACAGGACCAACTGCAAACACATTGGGCCTTGACTTGTCTTTGGTCTCCATTTGTCTGGTACAGTCTAAACACACACACACACCAAATGCAAATTGAGAACTCCTTTCGCAAACAGTGAAAGTATACCATTACTGCACATTACTGCAAATTTTACGAGTTTGCAAACACTAGTCAGTGAGTTGGGTTCCTGAAGCCTCAATTATTAATTAGTCATGATTACGGAAGATTAATATATAACTGCTGTTGATAGTACATGCCTTAACTGTTCAGACCACCAAGACACGAAACACTTAGGCCCTGCCACCAACAAGACGGTCAAAATTGTGCAAGAAAGTGCGTCAACAGTGAAAGGCTTACATGTTACATCCAGTTTCACAGAGCCAGCAGGTTGGGTATCACGCTTACCCCTGCAAGGAAAATCCACACCCCACACAACCATGAATAGATCTGTCCACCTCTCTTTTCATTCACACTCTAGACTAAAAGCACTCAATGGTGTATACATGAATCTACTACAGGGGTGAACATTGCCACTTACTGATACCACACTATAGCTACATAGCTAAGTCAATAGAGTATATAGCAGCACTGGGTATAGCTATATCTGCCGCCAGACTGCACTGGGAGTGCATGCAAAGTGCCTTCCTGCAATGGAGTTGTAGCCTCGGTTGTAGCAGTAGCTTAGTAGTACGTTTACCGCATGCGCTTATATGGGAGCTATGTAGTCGTACACGTGCGGTTCTTACCTGAAGTATTGCAAGATGGTTGCATCTTTCCTCTGCAGCAGACGGAACCAGCGTCTCCGCCAGTTGGTCCTGCCCAGGAAGGCTCCACCGCTTTCCTTTACGCACCAACCTTCGTGCAGCACCACGCCTGCGGAGGCAGAGTCTCCACATTGTAAAACAGTATACTGCAATACTAGCTAACCCTCTAGAGTCGGCAGGGCAGCCACGCTCTTTCTGTTTCTCCCTGCCATTTTTCCGCAGCGAGCGAGCAATCGAACGCAATCGATTGAGCTCCGCCCACATTAAACTTACGGTGTGCGTTAATTAGAGAAATAACTTCGCCTGCATATCCGCATTGACAGGTGGTGTGTCTCGGGGTTTGGCATAATTCCAGGAAGTCAAGTGGTGAGAGAAGGCTTGTATAAGACGGGGAGCTGTACCGAGCGTACTCTTTTCATGATCAGTTCCGCCCCGTTGGAAAGTCAGCGTGTGGAGTCGTGGCAGCAACCACCGCCCCGGACGACCTACTCCCTCACCGTCGATGACATAACACCTCACAGAGAACTTCAAGGTATCCTACGTGTGTTTTACTGTGACATTGCCGTTTTATTTAAATGTCCCCGCCATTTAGTAGGAAGAGCCATGTCTCGCTCGGTGACCCTCGTGAAGGGAAAGAACAACATGATAGGTATCAGTATCGGCGGTGGAGCTCCCTTCTGCCCAGTGCTCTACGTAGTACAGGTCAGGAGGCACCATGATACCTCTGGGACATTGCTACTGCCTCTCTCTCTCTCTCTCTCCTCCCCTCTCTCCCCCTCTCATTGCAGGTGTTCCATAGGACTCCAGCCTATGAGGATGGGTCCCTGTGTCCGGGAGACGAGCTGGTAGCAGTGAACGGTGCCAGCCTCAGAGGTCTCTCCAGAAAACAGACAGCCGACATGATCCAATCCTCTAAAGTAAGTAAACACAGTTATTATACTCTGGTTTTGAAACACCAACAACTTCTTGCACTGTTGTAGCTAGCTCTCACTAAGCCTGAGTTTGACTCCTATTTCGTGTACATGAAACACATTACTTTCTGTGCATACTGTCTCCACACTTCGGTCATGGGATAATTGGTGTAATGTTCTGTAGGGTTCCATCACAATCGCATACAATAGAGTCGAACCTCCCAAGGACAAAGGCTCTGATATTGGTGAGGAACGTACAATACACAGCGACAGCCAAGTTCTCCCCGTGTTGAATAGACTGGGTATGGGGAAAGTGTTGGTAGAAACACATAGTTTTATTCCCCCCCCCCCTGCATACGTCTCTTTTTAAAGGTGATGGTTTGAGATGGGTAGGAACACTGCTCCCGGCTACTACTGTGAAGTCGATAGCCTCACAATACTCAGGCCTTTCTTCAGTATAATTATGTGTGCATGTTTTTATGACAGTCCACAAGTTGTACGTATGTAGATTATGCATGCTAGTGAGAAAAAGGCTGTCTACCTTAGTACAAACAAGTATATGTCCAGAGCTCCGCATCTTTTTTCTCTTGGCATCACATGGTCTAATACCTTCATGTGTATGTAGTGTGTGGTGTGCATGTGTCTCTTTCTCCTACCTGTGTGTTGGGTGTGCCCAGCTCTGAAGAAGGTGAAGCACAGGTTGGTGGAGAAGATGAAAGACAGCACGGCTGACACTCTGGGGCTCAGCAGAGCAGTTCTGGTCAATGGTCAGCCACCCATACACCTTGCCCGGTTAACCCCTTGCCCACATCAACTACTGTGCACTGATAGGAGGACAAGATATTGACTACCTCTCGTGTTGCAGTTTTGTGTTCTAGCAATTCTCTTGCTCACAGATAAGCTGGTGAAGAAAGTACAGTATCTCGAGAACAATGCCAGAGTATACAGAGGTGTGTGTGTGTCTGTGTCGGTTATTGAGAGGTGTTTTCCCCTTTTCTCTCTTACACAGGTATTGCAGAGAAGGCAAGAGGGATGCTATCTTCGCTAAAGGCTGTGGTTGAGGGACATAAAGGTATACAGTAAAACTCCTCTCTATATAGGACACCCCTGGTGGAAGGAGGGTACCTTTCTAAGTGATACCCCTCTCCAGGACACCCCTGGTGGAAGGAGGGTACCTTTCTAAGTGATACCCCTCTCCAGGACACCCCTGGTGGAAGGAGGGTACCTTTCTAAGTGATACCCCTCTCTAGGACACCCCTGGTGGAAGGAGGGTACCTTTCTAAGTGATACCCCTCTCTAGGACACCCCTGGTGGAAGGAGGGTACCTTTCTAAGTGATACCCCTCTCTAGGACACCCCTGGTGGAAGGAGGGTACCTTTCTAAGTGATACCCCTCTCTAGGACACCCCTGGTGGAAGGAGGGTACCTTTCTAAGTGATACCCCTCTCTAGGACACCCCTGGTGGAAGGAGGGTACCTTTCTAAGTGATACCCCTCTCTAGGACACCCCTGGTGGAAGGAGGGTACCTTTCTAAGTGATACCCCTCTCTAGGACACCCCTGGTGGAAGGAGGGTATATACCTTTCTAAGTGAAACCCCCTCTCTAGGACACCGCTGGTGGAAGGAGGGTACCTTTCTAAGTGATACCCCTCTCTAGGACACCCCTGGTTGAAGGAGGGTACCTTTCTCTAAGTGATACCCCTCTCCAGGACACCCCTGGTGGAAGGAGGGTACTTTCTAAGTGATACCCCTCTCTAGGACACCCTTGGTGAAAGGAGGATACCTCTCTAAGGACACCATTTTCTCTCCCTAACAACTGTTCTTGCATGCAATTTTAACCCCTGAAAAGGGACACGTCATAAATATGGACACTTTCTACTGTCCCATTGGTGTCTGGATTAGAGGGGTTACACTGAGTTACTAACTGCTCAGAAGATGTTTTATTGTTAGGTGTTGATAGAGCTCTGTAGTATGAGCGTCCAACTTTCTCTTTCTCCTCTCTCCCTGTACTCTCTGATCTCTATGTATGTCCAGAGCTGGGTGCAGCATTCTCCAATATCGGAGTGTATGAGCCACAGCAAAGTGCCAGCGTCGCCTTCGTGGACTTTGGAAATGCCCACAAGTCAGTAGAGACACATCCAATCACTCATCCACCTATTCCGATGCATCTTCACTCTTTCACCGTGTGTAAAAAGAATGACAATTTGCTCTTTGTTGATAGTGTTGTGTTCTCCTTGGCACTATTTTAGAGGATCCACTGCCTCAGAAAGATAATTCTGAGTCAATGTGCTGTTTTCCTCACAGGCTGATAGGAGAAGAGGGGGAGAAACTGGCTTCAAAGATTGGCCCCGTGAGTGTTGCCCCGTGCTCTGACTCTCTCATCCACGTGTGTGTTTATCCATTAATAGATGCTGAAAGACCTCTACACTTACCTTCAGAAGGTGAGCAGTACTGTGTGTATGTATGTATATACTTATATATAATTATGTGAGAAGTATGTAGCTATGTACTTATTTTCATTTGCCTTGTGAAAGACTTTATTGTTCCTACTTTTCTAACTTTCCACATAGTGTGTGCTATATATACTAGCTATGCACAGTGGGTAGTTCATGTCTCAATCATTTCATCAGGTGACATTATGTGTGCGTGTGTGTGTGTGTATGTATATGTATAGCCAGTGAGACTATTTTCCTGTTGAACTTTGCCATACAATGTACGTATATCCAGGCAGTTCCAGATACAAAGCTGACCCTGAAGAAGTATTCTGACAGCAAGTTTGAGTTCTTGGTAAGAGCCACTCACCTCCACTACTACAAACAGACATTACAGCACTCCTCCTTTCTCCCTTGTCTCACTCTCCTATGGTGGACAACCAGGCGTACTGTCTGAAAGTGAAAGAGATGGATGATGAGGAGTACGAAGCTGCCGTAAGTCTTCTAAACAGTGCTTATCTACACAACATACTGTATGACTTCCATTACAAAAAAATTTTAGCGAATCGTGCATAAAAAAAGGTTTCCATAAAAATATCCGCTTTCGAATAGCAGTTACATGAGTATATAGTAGAATGGGTGCCATGTCTCTACTAGCTTGGTTTACGGTATAGGTTTTCTCATTTTAAAGAAGTTTCCCACATTTGGGATTACGTGTGGTGTCTGTGTGTGTTGCAGACGTTTGTGCAGCCTCTGGGTCGAGTTCTGGCCGGGAACTACGAGTACCGAATGTTCCTTCGGTGTCGGCACGCCGCCAAGTTGAGGTTTGTCAAACTGCGATCGGATGTCCTCGTGAAACTACAGCTTCTGGACAACAAGCGAGGTGGGTTTATAAAACTCCACCCTCCCTCTCCACTTCTTGATCCGTTTAGACCGTGGCTCATCTCTTTATTCTCTCACATGAAATGTGAATTTTAAAACCCCAGTAGCTTTTTATGTGCCCACGCTGAATGCAACACTTCTACGAAATGGTCATTTTATCAAGCCAGTGTAAGAGAACACACACACACGCAACTGAATGTAAGGTCTGGGTGTTGTGTTCTTTGTCCTGGGTTTCGTTGGTTACAAGTACCTGTCTTCCACAGTGCAAGACGTGGCGTTCCAGCTGGAGAGACTGGTGGGAGGGATGTACGTGTACAACCGACAGTGCTACAATGTCCTGAAGCAGGCCGCAGTGTTCCCCATTGAGGTTCAGCTGAGCATCCATCCACCCACACCTCCAGCCATTGAGGGGGAGGGAGAGGGGGGAGGAGGAGACGAGGGGGGATGAGGGAGGAGGAGAGGGAGCAAATGGTAAGGCCGTAGCGAGCGAGCCACAGGAAGATTTGCTGATTCAGACTGATTGATTTCACTAGCTATTCGATGAACTTGATTCTAATCATGTTTCTCAACCTTCACTTTTCATTTCCCACTTTGTACCAACCAACAAAAATCATGATCCAAGCCTACAAAATGCAGTGATTACAATAATTGTTCTTAGCATGATATATAGAAATATTGCTGTCAAATAATAGTCTCTGCTATAATATCAAGGCCATCGCACACAAGTCAACTTACTGCTATATAGCATGTACTGTACAATATTGCTGTGTATTCTGGCAAGGTGTTGCTGAATACATTTCTAGCAACATTTTGCTGGAATTAGTTTCCTCATGTATAAGGAAGGCCCATACATAAAACAGGAGGTCCTGCTGCTAAGCAGGCACCAGCAGTGTCGAGTTTGGCAAAGACGGCTCTAGAGCAACTGGCGAGATCGGGTCTCTGCAACTCGAAGAAGAGAGAGCCAGAGGGTCTGGGGAGTGTGGGGCAGGAACACCCCGGGAGTCAGGTGCAGGCAGTACAGCAGAAGACTGAGAAGCAGTGTGGCCTGAGACAGTGTGTAGGAGACCAGAGATGTGGCGAGGCAGTTCTCACTGTGCGAGTGAGAAGACTGCAAAATGTATGGGCCAGCACCAACCTTCTCAAGCCCGTGGGGCTCAACACGAGACCAGTTGTGTCCACTTGAACTCTGTACATTCTCCTCCGAAGAAAGAACTCTGGATTAGCAGCATAACATTGACGATTCGATTGTGGATGACAAACCATTAATTGTGCTTGCTGTATGTGGGTGGAATACCTTATATGTGCCACATTTTCACTGTTTTAAGCAAACTTACATGATCATCACTTCATGGCATATAATTATACATTGTGTAATACGTACATGTGAAAGGAAATCAACAACAACAAGGAACATCAGTGCAAGAAGAGACAAGCCAACCATTCGCTTTATTTCGACTATTGTTGGAGTGTGGAATAGTGAAGTACTCAGTCTTTCTGCACCTCTCCCTATCTAGCTTCACCAATCCCTCTTTAACCTATAGTATTTCGCCGTCCCCCACCCCCAACCTCTAATAGGGTGTCAATGATTTTGCATTTTATTGAGGTAAACCGGTGGAGGAAGAAACAAGGCAACCACACTTAATGTTTAGACAAAAGATGGAGTATGGAATAGTTACCTTTCTGCACATCTTCCTACTTAGTCGACTGATCCTTTTATTGTGCTAGCTGTCCCTACCTAAAAGGATGAAGCATCTCCTCCCACCCTATAGCTGATCAGAAGGTCCACAGATGAACTGTCCTACCTCTGCAAGGTGTTGGCTATACTGAATGCTCTATAAGCGCAAGTCTTGGAGTATAATTATATCTCTCACATTGACGCTGATATGACAAACATGTATATAAGACGATAATGTGCTCGCTGAGTGCATTGTGAGAGGACCACCACAATTATCATTATGGTACGATATGACAGTGAATGGTGCATGCGTGTGGAGGGAGGGAGGGAGTGGTGATGATGTGTGGGGTGTGCTAGTGACTAGCTGTGGACTGTATGGGTGCTGGGAGGTTTTTCATCCTCTGTCGAGTTCTGTTCGTGAGAGTCTCTGCTACTGTCGTCAGGTGAGCCCTGGTGGGTGTGGTCAGTCGCCCCCGACGCCACTGACGCGTATGTCTGTAAACCACCAGATGCCTAATATGGGAAGAAGAACAGAGTATATAGAAAGGAGAATACAGTGGAACCTTTCTAATCTTAACACCAGTGAGAAGTGCCTGTAGTATTGAGGCGTGTTTTCAGGGGTTAAATTTACATGCAAGAACTGTTCTTTGGACAGGGTTTCCTCTAGAGAGGTCCTATGAGGGGGGAACTATGAGGGGGGAACTGTTCTTTGGAAAGGGTTTCCTCTAGAGAGGGTCCTATGAGGGGGGAACTATGAGGGGGGAACTGTTCTTTGGAAAGGGTTTCCTCTAGAGGGTCTATGAGGGGGAACTATGAGGGGGGAACTGTTCTTTGGAAAGGGTTTCCTCTAGAGAGGTCCTATGAGGGGGAACTGTTCTTTGGAAAGGGTTTCCTCTAGAGAGGTCCTATGAGGGGTAACTGTTCTTTGGAAAGGGGTTTCCTCTAGAGAGGTCCTACGAGGGGGGAACTGTTCTTTGGAAAGGGTTTCCTCTAGAGAGGTCCTATGAGGGGTAACTATGAGGGGGGAACTGTTCTTTGGAAAGGGTTTCCTCTAGAGAGGTCCTAAGAACTGTTCTTTGGAAAGGGTTTCCTCTAGAGAGGTCCTATGAGGGGTAACTATGAGGGGGAACTGTTCTTTGGAAAGGGGTTTCCTCTAGAGAGGTCCTACGAGGGGGGAACTGTTCTTTGGAAAGGGTTTCCTCTAGAGAGGTCCTATGAGGGGTAACTATGAGGGGGAACTGTTCTTTGGAAAGGGTTTCCTCTAGAGAGGTCCTACGAGGGGGGAACTGTTCTTTGGAAAGGGTTTCCTCTAGAGAGGTCCTATGAGGGGTAACTATGAGGGGGGAACTGTTCTTTGGAAAGGGTTTCCTCTAGAGAGGTCCTACGAGGGGTGTGTTCACTACAGAGGTTTCTGTCATACCGATGCCACTGCTCCATCTTCTTCATCCACCGGATCCCCTACGAGGCTGGGGGAGAGGAAGGGAAAAAGGAGGCGTGTCATTGACGCATGCGTTTTTGGCTAATGAATGCAAGCAAGTCCATAGAGCACAACCTCAGTACACAAGTACATATTTATATACCACTCTCCGTGATATGTGCATTGTCACATGTAGTAGACTATGCAAGTGTGGCAGAGACTTGTCAATGCAAAGAACATGCAGTTCAGATGACTTATACATAACATATGTACGTACATATGTAGGTGGGACCGCTTTGCCTGCCAGTACTACGGTAAACGGTTCGAAAATCATTCAATATCATTCAGCTAAAATTCGGGCGATATTGCACAAAAGCTCAGTATTATATAAACCTGTAGTCTCTGAGGATCTTGCAGTCTCCTCCATCTCGGGGGTCGATTCCACCCACGTACAGCCTCCCCTCAGACGTGGCCACCAGAATACGATGAGCTCCGTCGATTCTGAGGAGAAAAATCGCACCACCCACTACATAGCATCAATGTGCCGTGTATCATAATTATGTGTATATAGCAGGGAAATTTGTCGCTTAACTTTCAAAACTTTCGTTAATTTTACCATCCAGAAAGTAATCTCCTTGAATTTTTTTGTGCATTTTGTATTGGTCAATACACAAATGTATTATTCTCCATTCTTCTCGTTTGCCATCAGCTCTCTGCCTAGAAATGTATTTCCACACTATATGCCACACGACATCGTACAATACACTCTCCCTGTCTGAGGGAATCTCAGATTGTCTCTGCCACACCGTTTAGCAGCAACTTTCGCAAGAGAAGACTTTCGTCTGCAGCAATCATCGGTTTCGCAGCATTAAGTTCCCCCATTATACAGTATACCTCACTGAGACAGGCACCAATCCATGCAGTATAATGTCAAATGGTGTAAGTACGGTGTATTGAGTGTGTATTATGGTGTACTGTTATGTATATTGTACACTCACACTGTCACTGCGCACACACTCCGCACACCTACAAAGGCCAAAGAGAAAGAACACCAGATTCAACAGAGGAAAATGACTCTTTTACGCACATATATACTATATAACCTCTCTATTGTATATATACACTTTTCTTACCAGCTTTGGGCAGTTTCATGTGTGCAAATGCCCTGTTCATTGACAGAGCATCTGAGCCCTGCAGTGAGAGAGAGAGACCAACACCCACACACATTGTGTGTTGACCCTCCATTACATGTATGTTCATCACTGACCAGGTAGCTAGCTGTGGTCCCAATGGCCTTGCCAATGTAGCTCATCCAACCCTGCTGCTCTTCTGGTGCCCTGTGCACACGTGTGGAGGAAGTATAATAAACATAATAGCAAAATTCTTCTACGTGTTGCATCCACACGAAGTATTGATCCTATGAGACTAATAAAGGCGCAGAAAAGGGAAGTTGTGAACCAAAATAATGATTTCAGAAGCGTTTGTAACATTTCGCATGATGCACTCAATAGCCCATCCATTTGCAACAGAAGGCATGTGGTGTCACTAGAGTGATGTACACCTTGTGTGTTTGAGGCAAAAACATGATTATTCCGTTGTACAGTATGTGCAGTGTGATTACATACTTACCGCTCTTGGGTGGGTCTAGTGAGCTTGAAGATGTGAACAGTCTCAGTACTGCTGGTGGTGGCTAGAAAAGTGTCCTCGTTACTGAATGCCAGACAATTGATCTGGATAAATCTGGGGAGGGAGGGAGGTGGGAGAGGAAGAAGGGGGAGGAGAGGAAGAAGGGGGAGGAAGAGAAGGTGGGGACACAGGTCAAGGAAAGAGAGGGGATGAACATAGGGAGGGTGTGAGGGGGAGGGAAGGTGGGGGCAAGAACGGAGGGTTATAGGTGAAGGGAATGAGAGAACAACTCACCTTTTCATTCCCCTTCTGAACTCAAAGAGTTTGTCACCACTTGGAATCCCAAACACTCTAATCACCGTGCCCTGCATCACACACCATAATACACCTGTCTTTAGCACCGACTATATGATTACAGTACACACAATACAACACATCTTTGGTGAGCGAATGAGACCATTTTCGCATGCAAATCAGTACGGTATGTGTTGTGTCAGTCAAATAAGTAATGAAAACCTCAAACACACTCGCACTGGCTCGCAAATACATTCATTCTAGTAGTGAGTGTGTGTGTGTGTGTGGGTAAAGAGTCCCCTCACAGTAGTGGAGGCAGTTGCTAGTCTTGAGCCACCGTTGTTGAAGGCAATGGCCGCCAGAGGAGATTCATGGGCCTGGATGGCCGCCACTGCTTTCTGTGTGTGTGGAACAACACAAACACATCAATATCTTAGTCAGTTAGTCAGTGATGCATGTACCATAGACTGGGTTATTATTTTGCCAGGAAAAAGTGTAGTTTCATTTTCAGAATTCTTAGAACACAACACTTTGCCACATGAAACATTTGTACGTTGTGTACAAACATAAAGTCAATTTTTGAAACAGAGTTTTAACAGAACGAAACGAAATAATTATGACAGAACTTTAACAGAACAAAATGCAATATTAAGGGAGGGAAAAGTTACGTAGTTTACTTACAAGATTGATTGCATCGAATACTTGGACCTCTCCATTCTGCATCAACAAAGGTTAGAGCACCCACAATATTATTACAAACACTGAAATTCAATGTACTAGATACTATTGGGATTCCAAAGAATTGCACACTTTTCACTAACAAAGGTTTCGGAACAGTCAGTAGTGACTGTATATATTACATACCTGACTGTTTCCAGGATATGCGAGGTAGCCTCCATCGTTATCCACTGATAGAGCACACAGTCCGGCCGGATTCTTGGGCGTGTCTCTGATTGTATGCATCACCTGAAACAGAGCCCACATAACCATAATAGTACAGTACATGTCCATACAATTACGTCTTACTCACAGTGCCATATAGCACAGTGGTTTGAGGTTTGCCTTGGGTTGTGTTGTGTTGTGGATTCGAACCCCTACCAGCTGAGTTGCCCTGGTATGTAGCTCAGTTGGTAGAGCACTTTTCGAATCCCACCCAGGGCAGCTCTTCTTCTTCTCAAAGAGCTGCCGAAGAGCCGTCCTGGGTGTAATTGACTTGTTTGCCTTGCCTTGCCCTTTCTACCCCGTTACCAAGTTGTTGAGACATACACACTATATGCAGCAGGAATTTTGTGACATGGCACACAAATTCCTCTCTCACTGCACCAGAGACATGTACGTGTGTACGTACCTTCATGTCTCTGATATTGTGGATGTAGAGGTTCTGTTTCAATACCACTACCAGCCGCTGTCTGTTGAGCTTCACTGCCAGAATGATGTCCGGATAGCTGTAGGTGCAGATCTCCGAGTTTTTCTGTTTGACGGTAAATGTATGCGAAGGGAATACGTTTTAATGCTTCAGCCTTTGAGATGCAGAGCTACGGACGTGCAGCTTTGTCCTGCTCGTCACTCTTATGTACAATGAGGGTTAAAGTATATATCTAGGTATGGTCTTCTCTTAGTGAAATAACCAAAAATTGATTAAACTGCTTGCAAACACACAAAATCTGCCATTTTAATACCTCTACTCCAGAACACACACACGCACATGACCTTGAAATGGCAGGCTCTGAGTTTCCTGGGGTGGCCAGTTCCACCATTGCCACCAGATGCTAGAGAACAGCCTCTCTATGCTACACACCTCGCCACCCTCTGAAAGGAGAGCGAGAGAGTAAGTTATGCGGAGAGAGATGGAGGGAGATGGTAAACAGTGATTTGATTTTTGCTGGACTCTGTTCAGTATACTGTCGAACTTGCGATGACGTTAGACTTTGCCAACCTCGCGTCTAAAGTAACATGGACTAGTACATTTGTAT